TTTTTTTTTTTTTTTTTTTTTTTTTTTTTTTTGTTTAGGCTCTGACAGCTGTGTGCCAAGCCGTTACTTTTTCGCCAGCCGACGAAGCCACAGGCTACATCCGTAGGGCCGCGCTTTAATTCCGTCCCACCGTGCGCTGCACTAAGTTGAGACCTTAGCCGAACCCTTCCCGGTGCGGCATGCCGCCACCGCAGCAGCAGGCACTACCACAGTGAGCAAGGGGATGTTGTGACCCTGCACAAAGTTTGTGCCTTGCAAAAGCCGTACTAGATCCGGTTGCACATGCCAGCCGCCCCCGTTCCGCTTTATAGACGTCCGAAGTGCGGTCTTGCCTTCCTGTCCCCCATCGCGAACGGCCTCTCAAGGGAATTGTACACCGTCCCGAGCAACCTTTCGCGACATGTCGACAGAGCATCGCGGTTCGGTCGCCTCGACTGGCTCGGCCGCGCCCACTGGTTCGCTGGCTGCCGCCGAGCACGCCCACCAGGCGCACCACCTCAAGTACGGCAACGTCGTTGCTGCTGGATTCTATCCCGACGATTCGGGCGATGAAGACGAAGGCGAGGAGCAAGAAGGCGCGCAGGCGCAAGAGGCGGATGCGGCCACCTCCGACACGCTGAGCCTCGCCCCGTCCACTTCGTCCGGTACTTCCAACGGCAAGTTGCCGCGCGATGCCAAAGCACGCAAATGGCGATCGTTGGAGCGTCGCGAAGCACACAGTCGCGCCATGCACGAACAGCGCCGCTACCTCTTCCGCCGGCCGCGTGCGCTACAGTACTTCCGCGGCAATGTCCTCGTTCGCTCCAACGAGGAACGCTCTTCGCACCGTCTCGAACTGTTCTTCGACCTGGTCTTCGTCGGCCTCATTGCCACTCTCGCCGAGGAGGCTGTGCACGAACACAACGGCGACGCCATCGTGCGCTACATCCTAACCTACACGGCAGCCTGGATGGTCTGGAACTACATGCGCGAGATCTTCAATGCCTTCTTCGTGGATGACCTGCCCCAGCGCGTGCTCGTGCTGGCCGTCATGGCCTGTCTCGTCGTCTATGGCAACAACGCCCCCTCCGCCGAGGAGCTGCTGGAAGAGTCGGGCGCCCGCGCCACCGCCATCGGATCGTACCTCGTCGCTGTCGGTCTCATCTTTGGTCTGCTGATGTTCTACTCGTTTTACATCTGCCAGTATCGCATCCAGATCCGCAGCCAAGCAACGATTTGGATCCTCCTCGTCGGACTTTGGATCGGAAGCATCTTCGTCTCGGTGCGCGCTTGCATCGCCCTTGTCGCCGTCGCACTCGTGCTCGAGTACGCCTCTTGGATGTTCTTCTACAGCCCGCTGTTCAAGAGGCTGGCCAAATTGCGATACTCTTCGGCTGTCGCCATCGAGCACGAGATCGATCGATTCACCGACTTTGTCACGCTGGTCCATGGCGAGTTTTTGTACAGCGTGCTATCAGGACATCCTGCTGGGACCGGTGTGCACTCTGGCGTGGCGCGCGTCGTCCTCACCACCATCGTCGCCTTTGTCCTCCACGGCATTTACTGCACGGGTGCTGGCAGCAAGCGTATCACACACCCCATCCGCCGCAGCATGTCGTATGCCATTCCCTTCTTTGGCCTACACCTCCCACTCGTCTCGGCCATCACGCTGTGTGGTGACGCCACCGCCGAGCTCGTCAAAGAAAATGAGGTTGCGCAGGGCATTCGCTGGATCTACTCTGCGACGTATGCGATTGGGATGATCTCGACCGCACTGCTCGTGATGCTCGAGAAAGAACTCGATGCACCGGGGGAGCTATTCTTCTCGAAGCCCGTGCGCATTGCACCACGCTTCGTCGCAGCCATCGTCGTGCTGCTTCTGCCACTCGCTGATCAGCACCACATCAACTCGACGGCGCTTCTCGGCATCTCTGCGGCCTTGGGCGGAGCAGCTTGGCTGTGGCAGGAGCTCGGCTCGCTCGACGGACCCAATGCTCCGTGGCACCAGCAGTCGAGCAGCTTCGCCGGTGTTCCCGAAGGTGCTCAGCCCCACGAGCACTGCACGAGAACGTGGACGGGCTTCCCGGCGCTCGTCGAGCCGGGCGCCTGGAATCTCGACTCCAGACGCCAGCGCGGGCGCACGACAACCTTTGTGCAGGAGTCCAACCCGGCTGACATCAGTCCCAGCGCGGAAGCTATCGCAGCATCTCCATGTCACGAAGCTGATTCTCCCAAGCTCGCAACTCCCTGAAGAAAGGTCCCTTTCCTGTTCCTGGTTCGCGAATCCCTAGCTCTGATGTAGTGTAAGAATCTCTTCAATCGAGAGACGGAAAGAACCCGCAGACAATGCTTCGTCTGAGCGCAGAGCGGTGGGTGTTGCACGTGCTGTAGCTAACGGGTCTATTTGGCAAAGAGAGAGGCAGTGGAGACAAAGAAGAATGATGTGAAGGAGAGCGTGGCGGTCCAAAAGAACACGAGTGCGGGCAGGTCGTGGTCGACCGACCATGTGTAGATAGCGTTGTTGATGAGTGGGCAGAACGTGTAGAGCGCGATCTGGAGGAGGTTGAGGAAGCCCACAAAGGCGTCGCGCGCTGCTACCAGGTCTTGGGCCGGGCGGTCTTGGGCAAGGAAGAGATCGACATTGAGCGCCTGAATCGACGGAAGCGCACCCGATCCCAGCAGCAAGAAGAAGACAGCTGTACAAATAGAAAGCAAGGTCTTGAGTGTCAGTCCTGTTCTCGAAGTCTCGTCAAAGATGCTGTGTCTGACTTACTGCCATAGATGCCTGGCACCGACAGGTGGGAAGCTGCGACGCCCATGGCGACGAAGCCGAGGCAGTCGCACGAGAGCGAAGCCATGGCAACGATCTGATCGGTGAAGATGACAGACTGCTCGCGTTTGGCAATGCGCACCTCGCTTGGAAGCTCCTCGATCGAGGCGGCAACAATCTCGTCGCGCATCCTCCGCTTCACCGCCCGATGCACCATTTTGACGATCCACGGCAGCGCAAACAGGCTGTACAGGCCCTTGGTCGCACCCAGTAGACCGAGCAGCGTGGTCACCTCGGGCGGCCCAAAGTGAAGGTGCGTCGAGCAGAACACCACCAGATTCGACCAGATCAGCGTGATGGTGTCGCAGAATACCAGCGCGCACATCATCAGCGGCAACTTGTAGTCCCTCTTGGCTCCCGGTCCCGGCTTGTAGGGCACAAGGTAGCCGAACAGGCCAAGAGTCTCCTGGATGTCCGCCACCACTCTTCGAGCCAAAGACGGGCTAGCACTCGGCTGCGTCGTTAATGGAGAGGCTGTCTGGATGTGGCTGCCGCTGGTGTCTGTGGCGGTGCTGGCATCAGAGCCTCGACGCGAGCGTCGGTGCGCAGGAGCCAGTCGCTTTGTTTCCGGAAGGAAGAGGGTGGCGATGGTTAGGGCGATCAGCCAGACCCCAACACAGATCCAGAAGGGCGAAAAGGGGCCTGTGTGGTGCAGGATGCTGAAGTTGAGATGGAAGGCCGGCAAGACGAGGCGGATGACGACCGACGCGATGGCCATGCCGAGTGTGATACTGGCAAAGGTCTTGGCGAAAGCCGCAGTCTTTTCGTCTTCTTTGCAGACATCGAGCATCATGACCTGACCGAGGAGCGACAATGCGGTCTGAAAGGCTCCAAAGAGGCCGCCCACGAAGCAAAGGGCGATGAATAGGTGCATCGCGACGGTGGGGTGGACAGTTGAGCTGGAGGGTACGCTAGAATCAAAAGAGTAGTGCGTCGGCAGCATGGCAAGAAGCGAACAGGTGATCAGGGAGACCAAGATGGAAGCGATGAACGCGGCGCGTCTGCTGAATCGCGGCAGGACCTGTTTTGCGAGCACGAGCGAGGCGATGCATCCCGAGATGCTGGAGAGCGTGTCGGAGTATGTAGCCATCTGGCTGGTACGCTTGTCGACCCAGGGGACCGAGCAGATCTCGAGGGGGTCACCTGCGGTTGGTAGTGTGGGGAAGGTGGCGTCGGGTGCAGAGGGCGAGGAGACATGGTAGTACTCGGCACATGCGAGCGTCTGGATGAGCTCGACGGCAAACGAATTATAGATGCCGACGCCGATGTTGTATACGGTGCTGATAAAGACCATGAGGTAGATGGCGCGCTTGCGGTGGTACTCTTGGAACTCGTCGCCGTCCTTGTCGTCCGGCTCGGATAGGAACGAGAGGAAGGCGGACGAGCGACGGCGCGCTATCGACCATCGTCGCTCGCCGTCTCCGCGTTCGCGATAGGAGAGCAACGGCGTCGTCTCATTGCGATCTGGCTCCAGTTCCCGGGTCATCTCGTCCAGATTCTAGCCGACAGAGACGGCCGGACAGGTTGGTCCGCGTTTGCCCAGCCAGAATGGAGGAGCTGAGGGGCTAGGAAGTAGTCGAAGGAGAAGGAAGTGGACGGTCGACTCTACGCGATCATGGTGTGACCACTTTGCAAGGACGGGCAGAAGCTTTGTGAGCATGTACACTGTCTATGAAGGGAGGCTTAGTAACTAGAGCCGTCGAGCACGAGCAGAGTGTCACCAATTGCACGAGTTGTGGAGGACCCTTGCCCGTTGGCTCTGGGTGGACACCGTTGCCGGGTTTTGGAACGCGATTTCTGAGTCTCTCATCACGCGCTGATCCAACGGTAGCGCTGGCTTTTCCTTATCCTCCTATGCACGCTTAGAGGAACGTAGGCTAGTGGGAAGACGCCGAGGGACGCTCGGATCTCGTGCATTCCATTGTTGGCTCCACGATGCCGTGTGGTGCGGCGAGCTCGACACGACTGCGCGATTTATGCGACTTCGGACGAGCCGCTTCCGACGCCGGACGACTGCTCGCGGTTGGTCGGAATGGTCGGCGCATTTTCCGGTACATGTTCAATCGCGCTCGCAACGGGACGAATCTGGCACCTGCGCCATGAATCCTCCGCGGATGAGGCGGCAAAGCTAGGCCCAGCTGCGGCTGCCTCGACTACCACAGGTGCGCCAGATCATCGTCGAAATTCATGTCACTCTCGCACTCTAGTTGCTTCGACGAGCGCTTCTTCGCGGTTCGCTATGGACAATGGTGTGTCGTCAGTGATGCGCTGCCTATTCTACACAGAGGTCGAGGTCATCAGAGACGAGCTCTCGCAAAGCCGAGGCGAAGAGGACCTCAGTCGACTGACACAGCTTCGTATCGGCCTTGCTTTTTGGGGAAAGGGAAGATGGGTTGGCGGGACAGGGGGTGAGGAAAAGCGCGATCAGGCCGCAGCGATGGGTTGCGAAGGCTGCTGCGCCTCGGCAGCCGGTGCCGCCTCGCCATCGGGCTTCGACTCGTTCTTGTTGGCGTGCGATCGGTCGCGCTGACCACCCTGGTTGCGCTGGCCGCCGCGACCGCCTCGGCCGCCGGCGCCGCCGCGCTTGTCGTTGCCGTTGAGGTTGTGTGTGTTGTTGAGCGAGGGCGGGTGCGCCTTGCGGTCGATCGCCGTGCCCATGGCCGAGGTGCGGAAGGTGAAGCCTCGCGTCTTCTCGATGATGGTCTGGTAGACGGGCGGGTGCGTGGGGTTCATGAACACCATGCCCTCCTTGAAGTCGATCTTGGCATCGGCGCGCGTGTCGCGCACCAGGTTGACGATCCACTTCTCGCCGTCCTCCTTGGACAGGTTGAGTCGCTGCACGAGGTCGGCAATGTCCACCTTGGAGTGGATGCGGCAGTACGCCTCCGAAATCACCACACGGCATGCCTCCACGAGCTCCTCCTTGTAGTCGGCCAGGAAGAAGTCCTTGGCGGCGACCTGCTCGAGCAGAGTCAGCTGCTCCTGCGCCGATTCAAAGTCAAAGTCGACGAACAGCTTGGAGAGGAAGTCGACGATGGGATCGGTGCCGGCAAGACGGTACGACTCGGAGTCGATGATGTTGACCACGTCCTTGATCGCCTGCTGCGGGCTGAGCTTGCTGACGTTGGCACCCGATGCCGAGGCCATGAGCGTAGCGGGAGCGGGCTGCTGCACCATGTAGACGCGCGTTGTGCGTCGCGAGAGCAGGAGCGCAGCAACGACGTATCGGAGCAGCCACCAGCAGGTGGTCTGGATGGTGTTGAGGTAGACAGGCGAAAGGAACATCTCGACGAGCTGCTCGCGGCCCGATGGGTGGTTGAAGAAGATGAAGAGCGCCCAGTGCAACAGCCATGCGCGCTTCTTCAACAAGCCCTCCTGGGTCAAGTCGTCGTTCTGTGCGGTGCCGTTGGAAGTCGAAGGCTGGGCGTACGAGGCGACGGCATGCGCGGCCGAGGAGTCGATCTGCTCTCGCAGCAGCTTGAGCTCGTCGAGAGCCTGCTCCCATTCTCCTACGAGGATGTCGCTGGCGAGCTTACCCCAGTGCGAGCTCATGGTGAGCACAGGGTCGGTCGAAAGGACGCGGAAGTGGTAGAGGTAGGACGAGGCATCGCCGTAGTTACCGCAGTTGAACTGGAAGTAGCCGTATCGGTAGAGGGCGTTGATCTGCTCGCTGGTGAGGTTGTACTTCTCCTCGAGCCATTGCAGGTTCTGCGTCTTGTCCTGCTTGAGCGCCGAGGCGACGCTGGGGTCCTGGATGACGTTGAGTACGTGGTCGACCTCGGAGCCAAGCTTGTCGTTGAGAGCGATGGCGTTCTCACGCTGCTTCTCAATCTCTGCGGGTGCCGGCTGGTTGGGGTAGGCCTGCTCGTGAAGCTGGAGCGCATAGTCGACCATCGACGTGTTCTTTGCGAGCTCATACTGGGCCTTGGCGATGTCGGTTTCCGAGAAGATGCCGGATCCAGCAAGGTGCGAGAGGAGCGGCAGACCGAGATGCCTGTCGAGGTAAGGCAGCAGGGTCTGCGTCAGGTCGTACTTCTCGGCCATGATTGCGACGGTCGTGGGGTCGCGCGCCGTTCACTCGAACCGGTGCTGAAAGTGCGAGCGAGTGGAGATGGGTTGTCGAAGGTGAACGGGTCCTCTGCGAGCAACGATGTAAAGTTGCGATGGACACCAAAAAAGGTCGAGATGGTGGGCAAGATCGTTGTCACCAACCCGCACTTTTTGCCAGTGTTGAACGCTCAGCTGCCTCATCCTGCAAAGAAGAAGAATTGCTCCTGCTCACACGCGACTGCCCAGTGGCACTGAAGAAGCAGAGAGCGCCGCGCGCCGCCTTTTGCCTCTGATTTGAACCTCGACCACAAAGCCCTTTCTTCGCGACTGCTTCGTGCGAAATTCCTATTCGTCCGCTTCAAAAGGGCCCACCTCAAGTCAAATCGACCTCGAAGCAAAAATTTCAAGTCGGCTTCAACACCCTCACTCACGGCTTGAAAGCCATCCCCGAGCGGTCTCCTCATCATCATTGGCCAAAGGTCTGACTGGATGATGATGAGCGCTTCGAGTTACGTGTGGTGCTTCGCCATTCGCATCTGATCCAAGCTGGTCGATGCCTCAGGAGTGGTTGCTGAGCTGCCAGAGTCTCACTTGCACGGCAAGGGCTCTGAGTAGCGCCGCAGCTTCGCGCGCTTCAGGCGAGCAGAAGGACGCTTTTCGGTCTAACAGAAGACTCAATCGGCCGGTACAGGTGAGCTGCGACAGATTCGGACCCTGCAGCTCAGGCAGGGTCAAGTCCAGCGGCAATCCAAATTCGAGTTCCCGCATGCGCTCGCTGTGACCACCCGGCAGGGTATTCCAGTGTACCTCAGGAGACATCCATCCTCGACTTTAGCCTCTTTCCATTCAGACCACGAAGGACCAGAAGCTCGAGTGAAGCAACATGGTGCTCACGAGGTCTCGCTCAGCAACGCCGGCCAGATCGATTGCCGCGTCCTTCGCACCTTCCAGGAAGGCATCGATCGCCACCCGGCCGACACCGGTGGCAAAGGGCATCAAGCGCTCGGCCACTGACAGCGACATCCTCGCGGTCAAGCCTACGAAGGAGGACAAGACAAAACGGAGCCGCACTGTCGCGCCGTCCTCGTCAGCAACCGCGAAAGCAGCGTCTCAAAATGCCCGTCCAGCCAAGGCCAAGGCGCCAGAGGAGCCGTTTGTGATACCCCAAGATGCGACCGAAGAGGACTGCTCGACACGCACCACGGTCCCATTCCCCGCTCTGCCTTTTGACTTCGAACAAGCGAGAGCTCACTTGTGCTCTGCAGACCGTCGCTTCGAGCGCCTCTTCCAGAAGATCCCGATTCGATGTTACGAGGAGGCGCTCGATGGTGATGCCTCTGATACCAAGGATCTCAACCTGTTCAATACCGTCACAACTTCCATTCTTGGACAGCAGATCTCGTGGCTGGCTGCGAGATCGGTCCTCTACAAGTTTTGCCGCCTCTTCCATCCCAACGAGATGCCGGAGAAGCCCGACTTTGTCGGCTTTCCTCGCGAACGGTGGCCTTTCCCAACGCCTTTAATGGTTTTACGGACCTCGGACGCCGATCTAAGGGCAGCCGGCCTCTCGTTCGCCAAGATCAAATACGTCAAGGACCTCGCAGCACGCTTCGTAGATGGTCGCCTCGACACTCGCCAGATCCTCGAGCTCGACGATGAAGAAGCTTGCGTCACCGAGCTGAGCAAGGTCAAAGGCGTCGGTAGATGGACGAGCGAGATGATCCTCATGTTTGCCATGCGCAAGCCGGACATCTTGCCGTGTGCAGATCTTGGAGTGCAAAAGGGCATGCTCAATTTCTTCCTGAGCGATGCTCGAGGTCCCAAGATCAGCGTCAAGAAACGCAAACCTGGCGAAGAGGAGGACGAAGCTCAAGACCAAAGCACCTCGAGCAAGGCGGCGTCTCCGAAAGAAGAAGTTGTGGAACCGACGCAGGCGAAAGGGGAAGAGGTGCCGCTACTTTCTCAGACCGAGGTCATGCCGAAACTCGAGGCTGGTTTCAGCGCGGCGCAGGACACCTCTGCGTCGCTCGACCACCTCATCCCGGACGAGCATGGCCTTTGTCGTCAAGTTCTCCAGTCGCGTGCCAAGGGCAACAAGATCAAGGGAGGTCAATACTTGAGCCCCGACGAGATGAAGGCTCTGGCCCATGAATGGTCGCCGTACCGCTCCGTCGCTTGCATGTTCATGTGGGCCCTCGTTGACACCTAGAGCCATGCGAGCGGCTGTCATGGTTCACTCGAGACACAGCATAACCACATTGACACTTGTAGAGTGTATCCGCTGACGATCTGACACATGATGACTAAATTGGACCTTTTAATCAAATTGAATCCATGCGTCACGTGTGTTGAATCCGGACATCCCGAAATTGAAGTGGGGCACTTTACCGCACCTGGCCGGTGATCGCCTACGCCGGCCGCACGCCATGGCTCTGGAATTCCGACTTGTAGCGCGGAAGGGAAAGTGTGAGTGGCTCTAGAGAAGAGAGCCTCCGTCGGCGGCCAGAGTGTCGCGAATGGGAGCGAGTGATTTCAAACCATCGACCGACTCCACGCTCGGCTGCATTGATCATCCACCATCTCCGACTTTGGCCTCACCAACCGCTCTACCTTCCTGACCGCGCGACCAGCTGAAAGGGCAAAGATGGTTTATCTCGTTGGTGCCAGCGCCGCCCAGGCTGCGGCTCGATCCACGCTTCTTCGTGGCGCCCCGGCCGTCCAGGCTCGCGCAATTCACGACCTTACCATCAACCGCAAGACGGGCAAGCCCATCATCAAGTCGGGCCCATACGCCGGTGGTCGGTGAGTATCCGAAGCTTCCGCTCTCCCTGATGCATGGCAGCGCGTGCACTGTCTTGCTCTGTTGAAGGGACAACGTTGTACTTACTTTCAGAGCTCTTTCTGCTTCGCCTCTCATCCAGATCCTCGGTCTCGGGCCACGTTGTGACTGTATTCGGCTGCACCGGCTTCTTGGGACGATATGTCGTCAACCGACTCGCGCAGAAGGGCTCGCAGGTCATCATTCCTTACCGTGACGAAGACGAGAAGAGGCACCTCAAGGTCATGGGAGACCTCGGCCAGATCGTGCCGATGGAGTGGGATCTTAGGAACGACGAGCAGATCGAGGAGTGCGTGCGCCACTCGGACGTGGTCTACAACCTGACTGGACGACACTACGAGACCAAGAACTTCTCCTTCAACGACGTGCACGTCGCCGGCGCCCAGCGCATCGCTCAGATCGCCGAGTCTGCTGGTGTTGGCCGCCTGATCCACGTCTCGCACCTGAACGCAGATGCCGACTCGCCGTCGTCCTTCCTGCGATCCAAAGCAGAAGGCGAGGCTGCCGTGAAGCGCGCTTTCGAAGGTGCCACCATTGTGCGTCCCGGCACCATGTGGGGACACGAGGACCGCTTCCTCAACCAGATGGCCGTCTACCCCTACGCATGGCGTGTCAACCACGGTCAGACCAAGATGCGCCCCGTACACTCGCTCGACGTTGCACAGGCTCTCGAGAAGATGCTCGAGGCTGACGTCACGTCGATGGGCGCTACTTTCTCGCTTGCAGGCCCCAAGGAGTACACGATCGGCCAGATTCTCCAGCTCGTCGAGTCGCTCACCTTCACGTCGCTGGCCAAGCCCGGTCTCAACACCCCTAAGTTCGCCTTCAAGCTGGCTGCTAAGATCGCCGACCTGGCATGGTGGCCCATGATCTCGCCGGATGAGGTGGTCCGTCGATACATCAACGACAAGCCGGATGCACCGGGCACCAAGAGCTGGGCCGACCTCGCCATGACCCCGGACACACTCGAAGACACCGCCGCGCCATACTTGAGGAGATACCGACCGACCACAAGGTTCGAGCAGCCCCTCGAGACGGGTGGTGCTCGTCTCAAGAAGCAAAAGTACCACGTGCTCGACTAAGCTTTCCAGCCATAGATCCGGAGAAAGCAATTGCTGCTCCTGCATTTCCTTGAGCTTCGTTACGCGCAATCCGCAATCGACCGTCTTCTTTGATCCTTGTAGTAGCGGCAATCTTCTCTGGGCCTTGTCGCAGAAGATCCTTGAGTCTCTGAGTCGCGTTGGCGTCCATCATTGGCCCGCTCGTCCAAGGCAAGGTGAAAACGAGAGAATTGGACGGAGATCCGTCCGGCCGTGGTTGGCCAAGTGGTCCCCACTGGTGTTGCCATGGCGGAGTCGACGCCTCGCTACAGCGACGATGCATGGCCGTGCCGCTCAAAAGGACAGAAACTGAATGTCCACATGCTGATCACCGATTAGTCTGCTCGCCTCGACAGGCTTTCAGCGCGGCAAGCGCGGCAACGCCTGCGCAGGGGCTTTGGATGCCTCTCCGCTCTTGCCTCGTGTTTTCGGACATGTACGAGGCTTCCACGTTAATCCCTCCATTAAGCCACCTGACCTCGATCGGAAATCCACCGACGACAGTCAGAGCTCTCTCATGGACCATGACAATGCCCGATTGTTCTGCTTGACAGGCCGCTGAAGAAGAAGACTCTCGGATGAATAATGTTTCTGCGATAAAGGTAAGGACAATTGCCAAGCCTTTTCTGCGTCGCGTGTACCTGGGCTCGGCGCCTTTTGGACGTAAATCCTCGTTTTGGCGCGTCCAGTTGCTCTGACCGGCGAGCCGAAACGCAACCTCGGAGCCTTTTTGAGGTTCTGCATGAACGATTTCACCCCTCTTGTGGGTCGGTCGGTGGCTTTCCCACCAATGTCACAGCGTCTATCACGACTCTCATCACCCTCACCCGCGTCCATCACCACGGTATCGACAGAGGAAAGCGGAGAACGCTGGCAGACCGACAATCCAGGCTCGAGTCGCGCAGAGCAGCACGAAAGGGCCCGACAGTTCAGGCTCTGCAAGCCGGGTCAAGACAGGCTCCCGAGGCCAGGAAGTGAAGCGCCTTGCCCGTGCACGCCTGATATAAGATCAGCCCGGAGAAGATTCGCTTGGGCGTCATCAAGCTAAGCTCACAGTAATCTCAAAGTCAGACCGCTACAATGGAGCACGTCCTCGTCAAGAGGCACAAGGAGGTGCCAGGATGCGTGTGGCAGCCGGGCATGGTCGGCCCGGGATGCAGGCCTCCATCGGCAGTCAAGAAGGCTGCCATGGCCGGCAAGGATAGCTACTACGAGATGGAGAAATACAGCCGCATCACCACCTGGGTCTTGCTCGCCCTCCTGGGCGTTGTGATGCTTCGCCATCTTGTCGCCTCGGTCCGCCACAGTACCCGCTCTCGTCTCTCGCTAGCGCCGCTGTCCGTACCCGGCTACTGCACATTGGCAGCGCTCTGCCGAGGCATTGGATACTATCGCCCAAAAAGGATCTTCGCCCGCAACACGGTGCTCGCAGAGTTAATTTCGGCCGACCGCTTCCCTTCGCTCGGCAACATCATCGCCATGGCAGTACCGTCCCTCGGCTTCATTTGCTGGTGCTTCGCAGTCAAGCCCTACTACCGTCCCGCCGCAGTGTGGGGCAGCACCCCGCTCGGTGTTCGCGCCGGTATGATCGCCAATGCATTCTTCCCCTGGCTCTTTGCCTTCGGCCTCAAGTTCAACCCCTTGACTTTCTTGACCGGCATCAGCCACGAGAAGCTGCAGTTCTTCCACCAGTGGATGGCACGCTTGATCCTCTTCTTCAGCATCGTTCACACCGTGCCCTTCCTCTGGCAGCCCGTTCACGACGGAGGCTTCAGCAACCTCAAGGCATGGTATTACTACGACAAAATATGGTGGACTGGCACCGTCGCGCTCGCTATGCTTGCCTGGCTCGTCGTGTCGTCCTTTGGTTACTTTCGTCGCATGTCGTACGAATTTTTCGTGCTTCAGCATGTGATCACCATCATCCTCTTCCTCGTCTTCTACTTTATGCACACCCGCGACCTTCTGCATTCCTGGTCGTGGCTTTGGCCCTCCATCGGCGTTTGGGGTTTCCACGTGCTGTTCAAATTCGCCAACTCGCTCCGAATCAGCCGCTTCACGGGCGTACCGGCCACCGTCACCCTCGTCGATGAGGACGAAAGCTTCGTCAGGCTCGAGGTCTCTGCGCCTGTAAGCTGGTTGCCAGGCCAACACTTCTTCCTTCGCTTCCCAACGATCAACAGGTCGGCGCCCTACCAGACACATCCCTTTACCGTGGCCAACTTGGCTTCGCCTGACGTCAACATGGACTCGCACCTCGTCTTCTACTTCAAGGCGCGTGACGGCCTGACCCGCAAGATCTGGGAGCATCTCATGCGCCAGCCGCCAGTCAAGGGCAAAGTCTCAGCCACGTTCACCGTCGGGCTCGATGGGCCATATGGTTTGCCCTTCCAGCCTGCCGCGTACCATGCGGACCTCATGCTCGCAGGAGGCGTGGGTATGACGTCGACGCTTCCGGCACTCATGTCGCTGTGCCTTGCAACACGATCTTCGCGCCAGGCGTTCACTTCCCGCGTCGCAGTGCACTGGGCCGTTCCGTCGATGCGCCTCTACGAGGCTTTTGAGCCTGCGCTCCGGCCGATGCTCGAGCACCTCAGAACAGTGGGCGTCGACGCCTCGCTGGACGTGTATTGCCGAGCTGCCTCGTCAAAGGCCACCACAGAAGGCACGTCGTCGGAGGACTTCTCCACATCCGCATCGGCCAAGTCGTCCTCTTCGGCCCTGGCATCGTTCGTACGCATCCATACCGTTCGAGCCAACGTGCCGGGCATCATCCACAGCTTCGTCGACAGCATCTCGTCGAACCGCACGGTCGGTGTCGCCGTCTGTGGGCCTGCGTCGATGTTGAGCGAGACCGCCAACACCGTTGCCCGCCTGCAATGGTCGCGCGTGATGTCCTCGTCGAGCACGTTGGAGGAGCTCTATCTCCACACAGAGGCCTTCGACTGGTAACCTTGTCCCCGTCCACGAACTCTTTCTCCCCGACGTCCATGAACTCATGAGAGCGCGGCGAAACGGCAGCTTCCCGGGTTCGCCGCTGACTTCATAGACATCACGTCACCGCCACGACCGCATGAGAGCCATTCGCAACTGTCAATCTAGAAATACAGAGACTCCGAGACCTGTGCCGTCGAAGCGCGCAGGATCGTTCCACGGTTGAGAGCTTGAGACGTCTTGAGCCGACTGTGGAGTTTGAGCCGAGTCGTGCTGGGCAGGTTGCGTCGCCACCTGTGGCGCTTGCCAGAAGTCTTGGCCAATAATGTCGCAATGCAGTGTACGGAGCGTGGAGAGCTGGGCTTTCTTGTCGCGCTTTTCCTGCTTCTTGGCATCTTTGGCGGCTCGCTTGCGTTCGATTTTGAGTCGCAGCTTCTCGTCCTTTGCGTTGGCCAACACAGGCTCTTGACTCGTCTCGTCTGCATCGAACGAGCTTTTTGCCGAGCCGGGGTGAGAAGCGGTCGTCTTTGATGGAGATGCAACAGACATTTCTGCGGCTTGAGTGGGGGTTGGCGGCTCTGAGGCATTGGTGGTCCAGACGAGCGTGGTACCTTTGCGAAAGATGGGGGGTAGCTGGTCGTAGTTGATGCCGAATTTGGTATGCAAGATCTCGTGCTTGTCTGCAGAGAAGGTACCCTCAAGCTCCTTGGTCGCTTCCTGCTCTGTTCTGCCGCCCTGTAGCACGAGAGCCCAGAAGGTGGTGTTGTACAGGTTGTTGATGTGCGTGTCAGCCTGACGCCAGCTGAAGTAGTCACGCACCACCTGTTCGTTCGGATACACAACCATGCGACCGTCAAAGCTCGGCGGATGCAGCAAGGGCTGATTCGGAAAGAATTTGGACCAGTTCCAGACATACGCGGATGTGAAGAGCGAGACGATGTGAGTGGTGATTTTGCTGTTCCGTCGACTGTAGAGCGTGGTCGACTTGCGCAGAAGAAAGCTGTATTCATCGCTTTCACCGAACGCGAGAGCAACTTGACCTTTGAGAGACTGCATCACATATCTCGCTGCCTCGTTCATCAGCTCGAGCGCAGTCGCATCGTTCGGTTTGGCAAAGTCGTGCGCCTTGGAGAACTTGTGAAAGCCTTTGCCGTCGATGCGAACCACGAGGTAGGTGTCCGGAATCACGCTGTCCGGCAGCTCAAAGTTCCGCACATAAGCGAACTTGGTCCCTGCCATCGTAATGAGCTCCTCCGGAGTGACCGGCCACGGAGCGTCGCTGTCTCGACGGGTGATCAGGATCGCGGATGGTGAGGAAGCTGGGCTATGTGGAGTACAAGCTTGGAAGACCAAAAAATGAGTCAGGGTTTCGGGTGCCGGATAACGGAACGCGGCCCCCGATACCTTCATCCCGGGTTATCCGCCTGGTCCCCATTCTTTACTGTTTAGCCATGTCTCTAGATCTCAGCACTCAGAGCACCACTGGCATTGAAGCAGCTTTTTGGTGTGCGGATGATCCATTAGCATTGATACAAATACAAAATGCAAGATAAAGACAGATGCTGGAAGCGATTGCAACGTGCTGGGTATGCTGGGGCCACATCAGGGCTGGGTGGAAGCGCCCATGTAGATGGGCACAGGGAAGAAGAGCGTTTTTCGGGGGTCAAAGTCGAAGTCATCATCGTCACTCGATGATTCAAGTGAAGAGACCGACTTGCTCTTGGGCGAGTGTGCGACCATGAGGTCGATGGGGTCCATCAATGGATTCGACGTTGACGGGCGCGTTGGCGTCGAGTCGGCATCGTAGAGGCCGAGAGCCTCCATCCTCCGATAGTGACTTGCTCCAATCCCTGCCATCTTCTTCATGAGCGAGGGACGGTCACGAAGCTCGAGCGTGCGACCCTTGGCAATGGGTGCGCGTGGCGTAGCGGGCACGAAGGCATTGGTCGGCGTTACAGGGAAGTCCTCGTCCTCCTCCTCGATGTCCGAGGACGAGGCAGAGAGGTGGGACATTGTCGGCGAGCGGCCCTCGAGGGCATAAAGAGCGTCCTGCCTGGCACACTTGCGAGAGCAGTAGATCTCGGTGGAAGACGATGTGGTGCTGCTGGTGCTGGGACGCACATCAGCTCCGCAAAAGCACGCGGCTCGAGTGCCGGATCGGCGCAGATCCTCTTTGCAGCTGTAGTAGCCGTCGTCGCTGATCGAGCTGGTGGTGGCAGTGTTGCGCATCGGGCGACTCGAGCTCACGAGTTGCAGAGGAGCGGGCTTCTTACGTTCACGTCGCTCGCTGTACGTCTTGGTACTGTTGAGAGTGATGGACGAGGTGCGCGGTGGGGGTTTGGGGATGGCATCCAAGGACGGAAGCAGCAGGTCCTCGACCGACGACGCGCTGCTCGCCGCGGAGAGTCGGCTGAAGCTCGAAGACGCCGACGCGATGGTCGAGTCCGAGAACCTGGACGACAGGATGGCGGTCATGCTAGGCAAATGGGAGGGATAAGAGTAGTGAGATAAGATGGCTATGTGATGCGGAGAGGGAAGGAGAGGAGGAGTGGATGGTCGGTGGCGATAGCGGAGACTTTGATGGGGAGTCGGGATGTCGAAAAGCGGACTCAGGTGTCTCAATATATGGCAACAACGGCAGCGCCAGTGGGACGGCCAAGCCTGGCGGCATTGTTGGGGCCCAGCTGGTTAGGAACGGTGACGGAAGCCGACTAAGACTGGCCAGGGACGTTGATGAGCTTCGTGAAGCATGCGGCCCTATGCGGCCTATGCGAACGTGGCGTCTGCTTGCGGAGGAGGCACCGGAAGAGAGGCTGCAGTCTCGGACACAGCACAAAGGGACAGAGAGACAAAGCGACGCACACGAGACGACAGGCGGCAAGATAGGCCATGCTCATCCCACATCCAAGCTTGCTTTGGGACCGTATGGGCGAGGCAAGCCCAGCTCGAGTGCATGGAAGCGGTGCAGAAGGCAAGGGCGGCTGATTAGACTATGACATAGGCGCGTGCGGGGCACAGCGGGGTTTGAGTCGGCGCACCCGAAGCTGTGGATCTGCACATCTGTTGGCGAGATTTTTGATGCTCCGCCTGTGCCTCCGCGCGTCGATCGAGTCCAAGCCAAGATAGGCATCAAGCCCAGCGCGTCCTCTGGCAAGTCCGACATCAAAGCGACAAGCGGAGTCGGGAGGGCTGCCGTCGCCAAGGCAGCCCGACCCAAAAAGGCAAGCGGCTGCAGAGCACAAAGAGCGTCCGTCGAGGCAGCAGAGGCCAAAGGTTGTTTCGAGCTGCGCGTAAGATTCCTCTGAACCGAAGCCGTATGGCGGCAGGCGGAGTTTGGAGCGGAGGTCGACACGTTGAGTTGCCGTAGCATCGGCCGAGGGCCAAAGCAAGATTTGGCTGCTGCGTCGGCGCCTGCAGCAGCAGCAGCAGCAGCAGCAGCAGCA